AAAAGTACTACACCCTCTACCAGAGTTCTTTAGCATCAATTCGTCATCAGAATTAGCCAGACTATGTGAAGAGTACCCACAAAAGAAGGTGTCAACTGACGACATGATTAGTGTTCAAACACAATCAAACATACTCCTTGTAGTGCGAATATTGATCACGAGTTGGCTGGGAGGCCTAAATATGCACCACCACACTCGCTTGCCTCACAACCAGTGACATGTGCTCACTTTCCGGAATGTTCTAGCATATACGAGCTTCCTTCGAGCACCGCCAGGTAGCGTTATACACACCACAGAACCAGTCTCCCGTTAATAAAAACAAGACAACTTGAGGCTACCCGATGCTCTTTGAGGGCAAAGTTGAGGCTGTCGATGTAGTGAGGGTTACTGTGAAGTGGAAATAGTTGGGTTTTAGATACTGGTGATGACTACGACCAAACCTTGGAACAAAAATGAATTTGGCCTCAACATGTGCTTGTTTATTGTGATCCTAGCCAAATTTTCACAATATATTTTTTTGCTTATTAGGCTTACAGGATCGCTCCGATATTCGCAATAATTAGGCTGACTTGCGAGATCTCAACACCCTTCTTAAATCAGCGGTAAGTCTTTGCCTTCCCTCCCCCTATCTCATATCCACTATTTCACTATTGGTTTTTTCTTTGGATGAATGAGTGTTTCCTGTCCAGAAGGACTACTACTACGTTTTTTCCTTTCCATCGGTTTTGGACCCCACTTTACCCTCATTCGTTTGAAATGCTGTGTGTGGGTACATTCTCTCTCTCTCTCTTTGTGTGTGCGTGTGTGTATGCGTCATAGTGCTTTTAGTGTGGTCGCAGTGAATGCCGTCTTACATGCGAAAGTGTGAATAAGGATGCACACATCACTTCACTTGTCTTTTTTTTTTGCGTGTCTCCCTAAACAGGCAGGTTGATTTGAAATTCAATGCGCGCGTAAACATTGGCTTGAAATATCTCAAGCCCCCTTGGCCTCCGTTATGGGGGCTGTTGGCTGCAATTTTTTCCTAACGAGTCTTGAAACCCGCCTGCCCATTGCTTTTTGCAGCTCTGCTATAGATGGCTCCTCGAATTTGGAGTTCTATCATTGATATCAAATGTCAGGCTTTATGATAGTTTTCGTTAGCCCTTTATTTGACTTCGGGCTTCGCAGAAGAGGAGGAGGAGGAGGAACATCAAAGTCACAGAATGTCGAAAGGAGGAAACAGAAGATTGATTCAAAGATGTAAAAGAGACAGACACAAAAGCAGAGAAAGGGTAGGATGAGTACTGCGTAAGTGGTGGAATATGGCATACAGTGGGATTGTGGTAGTTAGAAGTCAGAAGTCAACTGCCGGTTTATAGACTTTTTTTGCCGTATGAGTATGCGTTGCCCAGGGTGCACCACGTGGAGCTAAGTCTATCGCACACCCCAATAGGTGACAAGTTGCGAGCACGCCAGATATTTGAATCTCTTGAAGCCATTTTTGGTCTTACTTTTTGCACATGCCTCAAAATTCCCATTCACTTGACCGGTGACTCAAGTTTTTACAACATTAATATTGCATTATTTATTTTAAATTTGCGCATATTTTCATTTATACATATATATAAATATGTCTTTTTTTCAAATGTCATAAAATTATGTGAAATTTCGCCGAATTAAATTTTCTTTTTTTATTTTCACAACTTGACCTCATTTGAATGCTGTCTCTTGAACGGCTACCTCATAAAATTTAACCTAAATTTGAAATGGCATGGAAAGAATAAACTCAATGTGATCGAAGTTCCTTCTTATCAGTTTCGTTGGCCTTGTAAATGGCCATTAATTGAGTGAAATGTCATTTCAGTTTGTTCAACGAAGGTGCGAAGTTTGAGCACTTAGAGAGAAGCTGGTGTGTAAATTATGGATTTAAAGCTAATAAAATTTTCCTTTCACTCTTGGTGGAATTACATCATTTTGATGACTTTTCATCGTGATCCGTTATCGGGTTGTTAATTAACTACTTTGACACCATCTGATTTTAATTGATAATCGAAAAAAATTAGTGCATAAAATAAGCATATCACACTCACCGTACCAAACTGCGAACTCATGTCGTCTGATTTCACTCCTGAGTTCGTCTCTATATCTCCAATACTGAAGATGTCTTTCTATGAACGATAATCAAGTCGATTGAAATGAAGGATTGGGTCACCCCCCCCCCATTCCTTATTTTTTTTAATGATCGGGGTTGTATGGAGCTGAAGAATTAGAATGGGGCCCTCGGGGTGGTTAGAAGCACGGACTAATCATCACGAATAGTAGGTGCTGCTAGTCCGTTGTGCGGTTTTAGAAAATCTTGTCTGGTGATTGGCTCGGTCATAGTTCACATTTATTCATATTTATTGCTTGTAAAGGGCGTTATTAGGGTAGTGGTACGAAATTTTCAACCCCGCTGATTAATCACCAGGGGCCTCTAATTCGAGTTTTCGCCAGAGCGGCTCCTTGATGTTGGGGAAGACCTTTCTAATTTGACTTGGGTTTCATTCTTCTCACATCTTTTAACTTCGTTCCATGCATTTAAATGTGATTCTAAACGCAATATAGCTTATGTAGTCTATGTGAGAAATAAGAATGACTTATTTCTTCTACACTGACCTTTAAAGGATCCAATCAGCATTATGTAAACTACATTTCGTTCAACCTGAGCAAAATTTTAATTGAGGGGAGGGAGGGGGAGGGGGAACCAGACTTTCCCAGATCTGTTAATGATCTTTCTCTTTGGCCTACAATGCAATTTTTTGTGATTCCCAATCGGATTTGCGTTACTTGATTTTTCGGCTTGGCGTAATCTATATGTAATTTCGATTTCCTTTCATGCAAAAAGTCCATGTTTGGTCGATGCATTTTTCATTTCCAAGGTCAATAATTCATTAATTTTTCGCAATCGGGGCTTCCTTCAACTCGAATTTGGTCGTTAACTGACTGGAGTCGAGAACTCTTTGCTCTTTTTATCATCTTAGTATCCTAACTGATCCTCTCTCCTTGGTAAATTAAAGTGGTTTCAAACATTCCATCTCAATGGCATTTTTTTCGAAATTGTTTAGGTGGGATTTGAATCATCCACTTATCGCCCAATGTTCATTTATTTATTTATATCAAATGGCAGGCGGTTTGATAGTTGTCATTAGCCCCTTTAGTTGACTTCGGGCTTCACAGGGAAAGGAGGAACGTCAAAGTAACAGAAAGTCGATGGGTGGGGAACAGAAGAGTGATTTGCAGATGTAAAAGAGACAGACAGACAGAGGCAGAGAAAAGGTAGGATGAGTACTGCGGAAGTGCTAGAATATGATATACAGTGGGGTGATGGTAGTTTGAAGTGAGAAGTCAACTGCCGGTTAATAGACTTTTTTGCTGTATGAGTATACGTTGCTCAGGGTGCACCACGTGGAAGTAAGTCTATCGCACACCCCTATCGCCCAATGTTTAAGTCTGGTGATTTTAGTCTTGAAAATAGGATTGATTCCCTCCCTCTTCGTACTAATTTTGGTACAAATCTGCTCTAGAAAAGAATCAGACAGGATATGTCAACGGCATTGAGAACACGGAACACACCGAGAATCACTTACAGTTCGAGTTGTGTCTCCTGTCGATTGTATTGTGGTCGTTTCGTTCACTTTTTGCTTCACCATTTTGACTTCCTTTTTGTTTGAATTGATGTGGCCAACTGTGCTGCTACCAGTAGGGAATACGCGTCGAATTTTTGACCACTTCCGTAATTAAATGTTTTGTAATTTTAGAAATCTTTTTTTTTTTACTTATCTAAGTTACGAGCTGGATGAGACGATTTACACCATTCAATATTTTATTTAATTCAAAGTTGCAAAATTCTTGAAATAACTCACATCGAAGCTTACTTATGATTATTTGGACTCGTGAAATTAATTTAAATTTTAGTTGTGATGTCTATTGGATGGAAATGTACATTAAATATTGATTTCTTAGGCACGTATCTCTTAAACATGCTTGAATTTATTTCATAGTCGATGAAATCACGCAGCAACGCTTATCAGACGAAGCCGTTCCACCTTCAATGACACAAAGCGACTCGTGGGTTGTGCTTTTTAACAAAAGACAATTGCCAGTTGTTTGTCCTAGAATGGGACTTGATTTTCTAATATGCACGGAAATTGGACTTGATGAGGGCATATTGTTTGGTTTCTTCCCCATACACTACATTAATCCTAAGTTTTGATTTGTCTTCCTTAAGTTGGAACATGTTTTCAATTTTGAAGTTGTGTTTAAGTCAATTGACTGCCAGAACATCTCAGTTCAGATAAAAATTTAAAGCAAAAGACAAGGTTTTTTTGGGGGAGGGGGGGGGCTGTTTGTTTAGCTTGAAATAATTTGAGTTTCTTAATTGATGAAAATATGAAGTTAATGGAAGATAAAGGAAACTTATTTTTCTCCCCATTGTCATCGACTTCTGACGTGCAAGTTGGCCATGGCTCACAGGTCTTAATTTGGAAAATTTATTAAAAATGTTAAAATTAGTAGATTATTGTATGCGCAAGGCTAGAAGCTTCCATATTTGTATTAAAATGTGCGCACAGGACGTTTAAAAATACGGTGTTCATTCGTTAAAAGTGCAAAATGTTCAATTTGAAACGTTTATCCTTTGATGTTACATGCTTCTATTTGTGGTCTGAATATGTTCGTAATTTTTTTTCAGGTGGTTCTACTGGACAATTGGGGGCGAAGACGCTGACCGGAAAGCGTCAGTGGTCACGTTGATATTCACGGTACTCTTCATTCTTGGTCGATACATTCTTCCGATTCCTTATTGGTATGTCTTCTCTTGTGCATACTACTCAGAGGTGCATCAGATCTTGAAACCACACTTTCCCCGCTTCACCGACCTCTTCATCTCCTGCCCTGTTTTCTTAGATGTACTCAACATTGTTTGGGGCCTTCCTATCTATGGAATTTCGAAGAAGGCCTTGATCACTCTAGGTTATGTTAAGCAAAATAAAATATCTACTGGTAACGGTTCAGTAGCATGTCAAATAAACGGTTCGGTTGAAGCAGTGTCGAACGGAAAATTACACGAGCACTAGAATGTTATTTGAAGCTACGCTTTTTCGCGATTTATGCATTTAGCTGTCTTCATTTGCCTCTTTCCCCATATGCTCCTCTCTATTACATTATTTCTCTCCCCTCCCTCCTCCTCAATTCGTTCGCGTTTCAACGCCAATTTCTTTTTATTCTTATCCCCCCTTGCAAACTGAGTTCTTTCAAATATGTTTTAGTTTGTTTGTGTGTCAAAAGAACTGTTGTCAAATAAATATGCGTATTTCGGCTATTTAGTTGCTTGGTTGTTTCAAAATTTTGTGGTGTTGGAGGTATAATTTTGAAATCGCAACCTAATATTGCTTAAATGTTTTTTTCCGATTAAACGAATGTTATAGACCGAGTAATCAAACAAGAAAAGTGTGTCTCAACATTCTATTGAGATTATAATGAAATTTTATATTGCTGTGGGTCGAACTAACGACATGCACGCTAATAATAAAATGTACCTAAAGCGCGTGTATGCGACTACAACTCAGGTGAGGCATCAATTTAATGGGAATAATGGAGTAGTTTTCAAAGGTAAAAGTTGGTACGTATAGAAAGACATGCTTTTACGGGGGATGCATTTGCAAATAGAGATATAGAAAATCGATGCGTAAAAAAAGTCTAGCTATGACGCATTCATGTATATTGATCTATGCGGATATTGAGCTTGAATTTTTGCTTTACTACGATAAGAGATCACGACACTTCATGCCGAACTATTTTTTTGCCAATTTGCGATGCATTTTTTCAAAATTGGTGGTATCAATCAATTAATACCTAATACTTTATCGATTTGTTCGACTAATCTTGTCAAGTGCAAACTATTAGATTTATTTTATGCACCTTGGAATGATAATCATCGTTTTTGAAAGATGAAGATTCTGTATTGTCCAAGGAATTCTCACCTTCCATAATATTTTTAATGATGTGAGGATAGATAAATTACTATTGCGGTCGAATTCCATTTCGTAAGCCTTTTTCCATAATTAAAGGGTCTATTTACCTCGGGCACGACCCCTGGGAGGATTGTTCTCCCAAAATACTATATATTTAGCATTTGAGCGTTAATTACAAAAGAAAGCTCACGGTAGTACCTAATCGAGTTTATTAAATTACAACTAGAACAAAGTTAACATCTGTGAGTTTAAGACAGGTGTCTTAGAAGATAATTACTCAGTCAAATAATAGTGAGGTATCCATAGGGACTATTAAACGAGATCAAAAATTGAGCGCACAAAGCAGTGCTACACCACGTTTGATCCAATGACTTTGAGGCTCATTACTTGGAATTTCCACAGTGAAAACGAAGTTAGTCGACAAACCAGTGGTTGATAGAGTACCTAAAGCACAAATAAATACGAATAAACCCCCC